TGTTATGGGTGGGTTGGATGGTGACAGTAGATGATGGGTGAGTTTGACCATTTTGTTGGATTGAAATTTTTTTATAATAATAAAATATTTATGTACCATAAAAGTTTACAAGCTCGGTTTCTAGAATTGGGTTACAAGTTGGATAAAAAGTGGATAATGGTTCAACCGTTAATTGTTACATAATCGTTGATTGAACACCCATGCGTTATAACATAGAGATACATATAATAGACTAATTCAGGACAGAATTTATAACTAACCATAAGTAATTTCAAATTCATACCTAACAAATCATAATATCACAAAAAAAACATATTTTTTTATTATCAAAATTCAAGTTAGTAATCAGGGTGATAATTCGTAGTGAACCACATAAAGCATACAAAGAGGATAGGAAACAAAGAAAAGGAAGGATAAATAAAATTTGTAATTGATATTGGATGTTATTAGTGTAAGGAAGTGATTAAGTACCATACATGGGACTGTATAAGATCTAACATAACCTTCTCCTAACAACTCGAGTTATTGGGACCAACTGGTTTATGACATGGTATTAGAGCAAAACTCGATCCTTGATTAGGGGTTTGAGCTTTCGTCTGTCTGCGTCCTCTGTCTCGTCAACATCAACAATTAAGGGTTGTCTGTGCGGCGTTCCCGTTCCGGGGCGAACGCTTCTCCATCCCCAGTCCAGGCTCATCGCAACTTGTAGCTTCCTTTTCAGATGTCGCCTCGCTCAGCGGCCACGCTAGTTCGCGATCACCGCTGCTCCTGCCCCACGCCGCATCCTTCATCAACCCCATCTTCAGTCGTTCGCGGTCTCTCTCTCTCTCTCTCTCTCTTCAGGTCGTCGTTGCATCCCGTAAAAGCTACAGATTTCAGTCGGATCTGCATTCGTCATGTTGGCGGCGTCCGCCTTTGATGTCCTATATTTGGCGTGGACTACATAAAAAATGGCCACGCTCAAGAGGCCTAAATCTGTTGCCGATCTCGTCGCTAACCCAGCTACCTCGCCCTTCTCCATAGCCCTAGTCCGAGATGCTTGGTCAGCGACTATACTGGTTCTCTAGCGTATTCTTCAATCCAGCAGTTGGTGATAGTCCGTTTGGTTAACGACGACGAGGTTATCTTGTCATCGTCACAATTGGGAGAGAGATTCAGTCCCATCATCGTCAATTTCCAGCTCCTATTCCGTCAGTCCGTTTCGTCCCCATCACCAATCACCAATCACATCGTTGGGAAGCTTGGAAAACCAGTCGGTTAGAGTTTGTTCTGCCAAAGGAATTATATGGTCATGGATTTCAATTAAGTTTGGACTTTGGACATCAACGTCAATTTCATCAAGTCAAGGAGCTTTCCGTAGCATGTTGTAGGGGTGAACAAAAGGACCCGAAACCCAACCCACGCGACCTACCGACCTAGGGATTATGTATGGATAAAAACTTCCAAAATCTCTAGGGTTTTCCAACTCTTCCATATTTATCATTCGCCGCCGATTCATTCCCCATCCTCGGCCATCTTTTATCGATCATTTACTGATTTAGTGCCTTCGATCCCCCAAGCTCTACTAGAATTCACCTGATTCGTATTCTCCCCCAGGCGATCTCGTGAACAAAGTGGGTTGTTACCAACCACATATTCGCATCCTTCTTGGTGATGGTTCTTGGATTTTCCTTCGCATTCATCTTTATAGATCTTCCCCTAATTATCTACCTCTCATCCCCCTATCCAGTAAAAAATCACTAAGGTGATACCACCCATGCAACTCATTGAATTCTTTATATGCTTTCTGGGCTTTGTTTTTGCTTTAGGAGATCCAGAGGCAAGGCTCTGTTTTTGCTACTTTCCTTTTTGGGTTCTTCTCTTTTTGCTTTTGGAGCTCAAGAGGCAGGAGGTTTGGTTCTTTGTGCTTTGGATTTCAAGCCTATGATATTTACTACTTGGTTTGTAATTTTAGGATTCTCGTGTGATGGAGGCTTGAGTCGCCATTAGCCTCCTTGTCGTTGGCCTCTTTTTCAAAGCTTCATCTCCTTTCAGGTTGGAATCTCGCTGCGAACTTTAGATCTGCCACCGCTCTGCCCAAATTGCGGCATATCTTTCTAGAAAATCTGTTAATTCTAATGAGTTATTGCAGTTCGGATTGTAGCGGGTTGATTACCTAAACAACCCGACCCAATGGACATCAAACTAACAGGGTCTCAAATTTTACGGGTGGGTGTGGGTTTAGATTTATTGAAACCGACATATATGGATTGGGTGATCAAAGTAGTCCAAAACCGACCCAGCCGACCCATGTTCACCCTTAGAACGCTGCTCCAATTTGCTTCACAGAAGTTTTGTGTCTCGTAGCTTCCTTACACCGCCGATGCTGTTGTTGTCGTCGTCAACCGCAGAGCATCGACCTGCCATGCCTCCGTTTTGTGAAAGAGCAACGGCGAAGTCCTTCCCACCGTTGCGTCTGCTTTCTTCGAAGTGTCGTTCCCGCCGTCAATGACCGTCGTGCTATCATCATCTTCACCAAGATAGTTCCAGTCATCACCGACAGTACAATCTCCGCCGCCAGAGAAGAGTGTTGCGGGTGATACGGTGGGGCACTAGTGAGATATGGGGTAACCAAGAGGCAGAAGGGTTCCTCTTTTGGGCTGCCATCAATTACATGGGCCTTATCAAATCACTTTTCAACGACACTTCAAGTGTAGCCGAATTGGCCCTTATGGGCTCCCACATATGTTTTGGTAAGAGTTTTTTGATGGGGCTTCAATTAGATTTTGGACCAGCTTTCATTTTGCAGGCTTTCACCATAAAATATAGTCAAGTATCGATTGAGGCATTCATGTTCCATAAAATGGTCGTCCCCAAGCGTTCAAAAGGTAGTACGAGAAGAGAAGTCATCGTCCAATTGGCATTCACGATCCAAGAAATGGTCATCTCCTCTTCCGGTTCATTATTGGGCACATATCAACCATTCATCACTTTTCAACCTGGGCATTCACTATGTTCATGCTCCAGCTTGAGGGGGAGAGTAGAAGGTCAACATATGTCAGTCGACTAACTCAGTCATCAGGTCGACTGAGATGTACCAAGTGTGTTACGCTATGTTTGGCAACAAGGGGGGTGCAAATTCGAGGGGGGCGCAAATTGAGCTACAAATTGTAGGGGGGAGCAAATTTGAGAAGGGTGTAAATTGGGGTGCAAATGATTGTTTGGGAAAAAAAATAGGAGGTGCAAATTGGTGGGGTTTGTTTAATTAATAATATTTTATTAGTAAATTAATACAAAAATCAAAAAGTAATTATTTTTTTAATCTTCCCCAACGTTAATCTCATACACTCTCCGCGTTCAACCTTTCCTCCCCATTCCATTATTCCTTCTCTCTCTCACTAATTTCCTTTTTGACAAAACTAATTAGACGACCAAATCCACACCAAATCTACAATGTATCTTCTTCCTTTGTCTTTCAGCCTTCCATCTCCCTTCTCTGATTTCTCCGACACTCTCTCTTCCTCTCTAATATATCTCACCAATCCAATCCCTCAAGCTCTCCGGCCGCTACCGTCGATCTTCCCACAACTCCGACGATTTTTCTCCGGGGGAGATCGGAATAGCGACGATGATGAGGGCGGGAGATCAGAAGCCGCCGACGAAAGGAGAGAGGGGATCTGAATTCTAGATTAGGTAACACTTTGGGCATGCATGTTTCTTTTGGGTTAATTCTATGATTTTTGGGTATATATTGACGACTTTTCTTGATTCTGGGTTATGGATTCTGTTTTTTAGGTGTTACCGGCGGCGGTGTGGGCTTCTTTCTCACGCCAGCGGAGGCGAATTCACGGGCAGATTTGACGGAGGAAAGAGATAAAAAAAATTCAGGAAAAAAGGAGAAATCGTTCAGCTTTTTCTCTCTCCACTTCCGCCTCAATTTGGGGGGTACACTAGAACAGTAGAATTACACCTCTATTCATCCGCCCCCTACTGTTCAAAAACTTCCCAAACAGGTGCAAACTTATCGGGAAGGGCATTTACCCCTGGGATTTACGCCTCTATCCAAACAGAGCGTTAAAGTTCAAGAGAAGCAGTCAATCGTCTCCATCATCAGGTTGTTTAGAGAGAGTCAGTCGTCTCCAATCAACCTCGTCCGAGATGTTATTCATCTCGAGTTTTGTGGTTCAAGCCATCATGCATGTTCGAGTTCAAGAGACGCAGTCAATCGTCTTCATCATCAGGTTGTTAATCAACCTCGTCCGAGATGTTATTCATCTCGAGTTTTGTGGTTCAAGCCATCATGCTTGTTCTTCACATTTACTTCTTCAAACTCGACATTCTTGTCATTCATGTCTTCGCTTGAGGGGGAGTGTTGCAGTTACTTAAACCGTGTTAGTATTGGGCCTTGTTGGGCCTTGTCCGAGTTGTAGTAGGTATGGATACTTGGTCGTGACTCTTCTCGTTAGGGTTTTAACCCTAGTCTATCTCTATATAAGACTTAGCTACGAACCTGTCGTAAGCAAGCTGTCACAATGTAGTCGTTCAATAAAACGCCAGCCGTGAGCTCTTCCAAACTCACCGTGGATTAGTCTCGACCAATCAATCGATCGAGGATGCCACATAAAATCTCTTGTCTCGTGTTCTTTCGTTCTTCCGCATCATCAAATTCTTCAATTAGCTTATGTTAAGACATTTTTAATTTTTGGTGGTTAAAATAGTGAACCACTGAACCAATCAAACCAGGGTGGTTCATATGGCTTTATGTGAAACAGCTAAAAAAGTTCGGTCCATCCTTAACTGTCAAGCAAATAAATCGAAACGACATTTCAACTGTTTTGGTGGTTCTACTAATTGAGCCACTGATATGCTTTGGTTCTTATAAGTTATAACAATGCTAACAATATACTAATTAAATATCAAATTCAGCTACAAAAATCAAGAGAATCGATAACTATTATGTGTAGTTTATTGCATAATCTAACATCAAAATCTCATTTATGAACAGAAAATATTTTATGTATAGTTATCATATATTCTAAAGAATTGATGTGAGGTAGCTCATTTCGTGGCTAAAAAAACTCTCATTTTGTTTCATTTTGAATGCTTGGTGTTCGAGTTTCGTTCTTGGCTCCGATCGACGTCAGTATCTGTGTAACTGGTTGTTCCTGGTTTCAACCATTGCCCCCATCCCTAACAAATACAACTTAGTGTCCCATAGGATGGTTTGGCTGATGAATGTACTATGGAGGGATTTGGATCCAAATCTCTCATTTAATCCAAGACAATATGTATGAGAGATTTGATCAAATGCCTTTGTTTATGGATATGAGTTTTCAATAACAAAAGATTTTTGTCCGTGCATATCTTTTTCTGACGAGACTCCTTCACCGCACCATACCTCTTCCTCTTTGCACTTAACGCCCTGCTTTTTACACCGTTTTCCCCTGCTCCTGCATTTCTTACGACATCGACAAACACGAGCTAGCTGCTATTGAATGGGGGCGGTGGTGGTGCTACTGTGCTGTGTGAAATCTGGCCGGCATGATGGCTCTCTGGGGCTGCGGCTGGAAATCACGAAGGAGGATATGATATTTGAGACAATGGCGGGAGGAGGAAGGGAAGCATCGACCCGGAGAATTTGTTCTGAAGGGTCGTCAATCTGGAGCAAATCCAGCTGGGACCGCAGCAGAGTCGGAGGCATGAAGTGAGTCCCCTGTTTAGCTCTCTCGGCGAGGCGGCGGGCGAGCAAGTCGACGCTGGCATCCAGCAGCACGAAATGGCAGCAACAGGTGGACGGCGGCGGGTGGGGGTCGGCGGATCGGAGGATGTCTCTGTAAGACTTCCGTAGGGAAGAGCAACCGAGGATTACTGTGTTGCCGGAGATGAGGTGGTGCCGGAGTTTGTCCCTCAGGAGATTGAGCCAGGGGATTCTGTCTTCGTGGGTCAGGGGAATGCCCTGCCTCATCTTCTCTGTAACGTTACACGATTCAATTGCTTATATTGTTATGCAGAAATATTAGGTAGGTAGCGAACTGGAGCAAATGGTTTGATTTTTACCTTTGTTGGAATGAGGGTGGAAGTCATCGGCGTCAAGAAAGCTGCAGTTTAATTCTGTCGCCAGCAGTTCTCCAATGGTACTGCACGCACCAAAACATATTTGAACAGCAATCTTGATCAGACGTTTTTTGCGATTTGTAACAGCTGTAAACAGAGAAAAATTGGCATTAAGCACCAAAAAAGGATGGGCATGCGCAAAGGCGGCACCTTTTCCCGGCACCGGAGACGCCCATGAGCACGATGGCGGTGCCTGCTGCACAACCATGAACCAACCAAATCAAGAATCATTTGCACCAAAATTATGAACATGGGAATGTGATTCAATGGATAGAATGAATCTTGCGGCCACAACAAACGCCCATCAAAGGCAATGTAATTAAGAACGGAATAACAGAAGAAAAACAAACAGGAAGACAGAGATGGAAGAAGAGAAATCTATTGAATTGGGGATCGGGAGTGAACCTGTGAGGAGGGAAGGAATCGTGAGGATATGGGCAGTCGATTGATGATGCGGGTTCAGGATACACCGATGCGCCACAGGGCAAAGGATGCGGATTAGAGTTTTGGGAAATAAAATAAATCCCAATCGAAAGAAACACCAAGATGCAGAGAGAGAGCGAGAGAAACAGAGATGAAGTCGGAAATGCAGGTGGGAACGAAATTTGATGGGAATTATCTATCAAACCCCACTGTGCAGAATTTGGGTTTGGTGGAGGGAAGGGAGAAGAAGGAGAAGGAGAAGAGGAGAATTGGGGATGGAGATCTTGTTTACGTGACGTTCGGTGGGGTTTTTGTTGGCTGTTTTTGTCCGGGTCTTGGTAGAGAAAGAGAGAAAGTGATGAATGAACGAGATATAAAAAAATGGATAAGGCGAATAAGGGTTGGTAGAAACTACGATGATCTGAGTCGACCCTGACGTGGCGGACCTAGCTGACGACAAATACCGTTTCCGGCCGGCCAGTAAGTCAACCCTAGAGCCCTGCCTTGAGTTACAGGCTTATAGCCGTCCGCCATGGCGCAACCGACTGGGAGACGAGTAAGCAACAAAAGGGAGGATCTAGCTAGGTCGTGGAAGAACAACAGACAACAAGCTGGAGGAGGGGGAAGCTATAATTTAGAAATTGGTACTCATTTGTTTCGTTCTGGCTTTTCTTTCTACTTAGGTGGCGACAGGTGTACCTTCCCTTCGTCACCCGCAAATTCCTCCCCGGAATCGCCCCTTCCCCTGTTCTTACCTTCCCTTTCCGACCACCGAGTCCAAACTGGTTCTTCTGCATTTCGTTGCAGATACTTTCTCCGTAAAAAGAATGTTATCTGAATATAAATAACCATTCTTGTTGGGGGTGGGGGTGGGGAGATCCTAAAACTACTATGGAGGTTCTCCTCTAGTAACCAGAAACGGTATAAGTCCGCTCGCTATCACTTCGTGTGTGAGCGAGAATATGACATTTTAAAGATTAATAGTTTGAATTTGGATCCAAAAATAAAGGGCTTGTTAACTACAATTTCATGTAGTCGACGCAGCGATGACCTTTAATAAGCGAGAAGGGTCGTCGAACAAATGATTTGTATGTTAAATCTTCTCTCGTAACACCTATTGATTAGTTTATATTCTTTTTACTTTGTTTTTTTCTTTTCAAGTTCATTCTCAACCAAAAAGAAAAAGAGACATACTCGCTCAAGACCCAAAACTCGGCACCATCATTTTCAACTCTCTTTGATCGGGTTGAACCGAGTTTGTAACAAATTCACAATCTGTGACCAGACAATTAAAAAAAATATAAAACTCACACCCGCCCGAGAAATTAACAAACACTAAAGTGGATAAAACTCGCTCACGATCCAAAACTCGACAACATCAAGTTCAACTCTCTATGATCTGGTTGAACCGAGTATGTAACAAATTCACAACCGACTCGACCCACCAATTACACATGCGAATAAAACTCACTCATTCCTGAAAGCTTGTAAACATCGGGTTCAAGTCATTTTTATCAAGTTAAATTAGGTTGGATACCCATAGGTTTGGGTTCTCAACCAAAAGGAAAAGGATAAATAAAAAACACTAAAGCGGATAAAATTCATTCCCCACCAAAAACTCTACACACCAAGTTCAACTCGCCTTCATTAGTTCGAACCGAGTTCGTAACAATTCACAGTCGGCTCAACATGCCAAGTCTAAAAGCAGATATTTGCTATCGATACAAAACTCGTCAGCACCGAGTCTTGCTTCAATTGTCATTCTCAACAAAAAGGAAAAATAAAATAACATTAAAAAGACAAATCTCGCTCTCGGTCCAAAATTCGTCAACACCGTGTTCACCTCGCTTTGACCGGGTCGAATCGAGATTTTAACAAATTCACAATCGACCCAAGATGCCAACTACAAAAGCGGACAAAACTCACTCTCGATACAAAACTCTTCAATACCAGGTTTGGATTTAATTGTCATTCTCAACGAAAAGAAAAGTAGACATTTAAAATTAGTAAAGACGGGTTCAATTCGCTTTGACCTGGTAGAATTAAGTTGAATACCCATGAGTTTGAGTTCAATTGTCATGCTTAACTAAAAGAAAAAGAGAAATAAGAAAACACCAAAGAATATAAAACTCGGTCCGATACAAAACTCGACAACATAGAGCATGTTGGTATGGATTTTCGGTAGCGGTATTGTGACACGGTGGATGAGTACAGCCTAGGATTCCACCGAAAGTATTTCGAGATATGGTATGGGTCTTTGGTAGCGGTCCTGCCAAATGGTGGAAGAGGACAACTTATGATTTCGTCGATAGTGTTTCGAGATGAGTTGCGAATTGGTGGGGCAAGGCGATGATTTGGGCGAAAGATCATAGATGAAAACGTAATAGATAATTGTTGCAATAGGGAACACAATGAACAATAGATGAAACCTTATGGACAATAGATGTAGACCCAACAGACAATAATTGAACACAAAGGTTGTAGAATGGGAGAGTGGGGTAAAAGATGGAAGTTGAAACTTGCCCCACTTACAAGGAGGAGTGTAAGAGCCACTAATATGTAGTAACACCTAACCTTGGATTTTATAAATTAATTAATAATAATAATAATTTCCCTGCCTTCTGCGCAGAGCACGGAGTAGTACGTAAGTAAAACATTATCAGTCAAGTGGATGGGCGGAAAGGGCTTTAATTGGGCCCGTAATTCCACATGAATGTGAGTTGGATGGAAATTGTCCAGTTCCAATAAGGTATGTTTGCTTCCTTCTCTTTTAGCTTTGGTACTTTTTTTCATTTAGGGTGCGATGTGCTTATAAAACAAAGAAATATAGCGTGATTGAATTGTGAAAGCCAAGGAGAAGCCCCATATTTTTAATCATTGGTATTGTTATTTAGTATCAAGGAAATCGGTCTAAACCAGTAGTGCAAGTTATCAAAACATGAATAAGTATATAATTTTTTGTTTTTTTACCATTATATTCTAAACGTAGTCTACAACATGTGAATTCTAATGTTTCTAGCAATTACATTAGCATTTATATACTACGTCACATTATTACAATAATTTTTTGTGGCTCCTCTTTTGTAGTTGTATGCCTCAAAGAAATATTTCACATGGAGAGTCATCCAAACAACTAAATAATGTTTCACTTCAACCGTTCAAAAGTGAATGTAAGAACAATACTTTTATTAGCATAATTATATACATCAAGCAATTTAATGTGTGTCCATGACAAGTGTTGTTCAGGGGAAAAGAGAGTTGTTTTTATACTACCAAAAGGTGTGGTCGTTTCTAATCAGTCTCTATCCGACGTGCATAAAACTTTTCTAATAGTATGAATGTTGATGAATTATAAATTAATTATAATATATTTATGATGATTGATCTTAATAAAAATATTATTCTTCATTTTACATTTCAGAAATCGATGCACATATGTTAGAGCTTAAGAAAATTAATTAACCATTGACAAAATTAGCAATAAGGAAACATGCTCTTTGTATAAGACAAAAGCATATACATGAAAAAATGGCCATACTCATATACTAATAGTAATTGTATTAATGTTGATCCTACTAATATTGTCCAATATCTTTCGCACAAAATAAACCAGACCCCCACTTCTCTCCAAATTCATACATCTACCCAATAATTTATAGACGCTCTTCGCCAACACCCTCTCCGTCTGATTTTCCAGGCTTCTCCGCACAAGTAGGAAGGATTACTTGGTTTTTTCCACATTTTCGGTGTTGCAAACTTCTCTATCTTAACTGGAATCAACAAAAATAGGTTAGGGTGTTGTCATGGCATGTTGTGGGCTTGGTCCATAGCAACTAGAAATCAATTAATTCGACAACACTATAGTCACTCCCATTAGTAGCTTTCCCCCTTCCCCAATAATTAAGGAATACATTTTCGGGCCAAATAAGAAAATTGTTTTTACTAATGAAATAATCTTGATTTATGCAACAGTAATGGAAAATTTAATGGAATAACATTCATGATTTAATTGATAATAAATGGTGAACGTATATCTTTGTTCTAAACAAAATAAAAATAAATTAAATATTCAATGTGTATTACACCAATATACGACTGGTCAAAACTCGCATGTATATTTTAGATTTTCATTTGAACACGTAAAATTGATTTATATGAATTTTTCTTAATATTTGTATACTACTCGGACTTGACTATTAATGATAATTTTTGTAGTCTCACGGAACAATATGGTATGCAAAAGATTATTCATGCGAACAATATGCATGAAATTGATGAGACATATGATATTCGTCTATATAGAATTGACCTGGAACTCTCAGTTAGGGTTTAGGACAAAGGTTGAGCACGTATTAGTTAATAATCAGATAATAGAGAGATGAGACGTTTATTAGTTTAGATCCGAGCAAAGGACTAAGGATAAGAGATATGGATCCTTGAGAAATTTGTTACTTTAGAGTCGAGTATATGAAAGAGATTAATTTTAGTGAACGATTACGTACCTTTACAATTTGTCTAAAAAATACGCACAACTTTGTCAAAATATATTATAGACATCAAGCGTGTTTATCAAAATAGAAGTGTGGAAGAAACTAATTTTAGTCTTGAATTACGTACCTTAACAATTGGTCTAAAAAATATGTACAACATTTTCAAAATAGACATCAAGAGTGCTTATCAAAATAGACGTGCGGTAAAAAAAATTAGCTCAGAAGGAAATAGTTAGATGTATCATTTGAACAGATACCAATGTCTCTTATTAGTGTTTCTATTTGGTAGAGGATAAAATACCGTTTTGTTTTCAACCCAAATTTTAGGTTGTCCATCCGTTATTTTCTCATGTATTATTTGTACACTTTTTTATAATTATTTCTAAACTTTTTAATTATTCTCTTAATAGATTGATCTCATCCTTATTAAGAAAAAAATAAAATTAGAGATTGTTTCACTTGATTGGGAAACATGAATTAACAACCTAGGGTAAAAACTAAGTGCAAAGGCATGAGAAGACACGGTTATGGTGTTATTTTAATGATTGGAAAATTCTTAGATAAATCAAAAAATTTAGTATGAGAATTCTATGTTAGTGATACAACGTTTTGAGTAAAATCGAGAATTTTCTCTAAGAAGTAACTCATGTTTAATGAATAATCATTAGCTACGAACTTTTTTACTAATGCTCACTTAGAATGATAAAAAAATATCAACCTAGATGGAGAACCTTCCACAATAGGTGTCCAAACTAAAATCTATTAACCATATAGTATAGTACTTAACTGAGAAATTTTGTCTCAGGTGAATGAATGATAGACCTTTGTTAATGGATTAGGATGTTTAATTAAGTCCAGGCAAATAGAATTGGCTACAAAACGAGGATGCACTTATGAGATGTTATCTTACTCTATTCATAAATTCGAAAAGGGATACGATTTCTTGGAAATTACTAGGAAATCAAATAGTTTTGGCTTGGTATTTTTCATCAGCCATAATTGATGGTTGGAATAAGGAATTTGGTAATCAGATTTTTGTAAGGACCATTGTTACAATGTTGTATATCCTACTTTTTTTTTCTTTTTTCCATTTGTTTTTTATTGTTGTTGTTGATCATGATAATATTTAAAATTTTAATTATTTTATTCTCATGGTCCTTTTTAACTTCTTTAAGATAATAAGATCCAATTCAATATATTTTTGGTGTATTTAATTTCAGAAGACAATGTGCATATTAAATATACAAAATGCTCAACATATGTAATTTGAATCATATGTCTTGAAAAACATTGCAAATTGAAT